CTCCTGGCCTTACTACTAGGAGCAAGGACGCTACTGGGGGCTCCTGGCCTTACTACTAGGAGCAAGGACGCTAGTAGGGGCTCCTGGCCTTACTACTAGGAGCAAGGACGCTACTAGTAACAATAAAGCTACCAAAAGAACTTTTCTTTTTTCGTTGTTTCTAATAGCGATGGCCTCCAACCTAATGGCGATCACAATGTGCAAATGGTGCCTTCCATGATCCTCAATGTTTTGTTTGGAGATGCTGGGGATTGTGGTTTGCGTCAGGATGCATCGAGAAGCAGAAGAAGTGGCAGATCTGAAGGCTCAAGTTGAAACTCTGAAGGCACCGCCGGGAGGTGAAAAAGGAGGAAGAAGCTACTAGTAACAAAGGGCATCGCTACTAGTAGCTTCTTTCTACTATTAGTAATGCCCTTGTTCCTAGTAGCGATGCCCTTGTTACTAGTAGCAAAGGAGGAAGAAGTAGTTTACAGATTTCATTCATTCTGCAGCATTCTTGTGTTAGCTAATGGGGGTCAGTCATGCCCCCAGGACGATCCTAAGGAATAGGTATGCATGACAATCAAAGGTGTGTGCCTTCTACCACAATCGAGCTCTTACGGCAGTAAAGGCCTGCTGTAGGTCAAGAGTTCGTACCCTAAGTCACCGAAATTAGTAAATTTACATGTTTATTGGATTTACGTAAATTGATGAATTTAGGTTGCAAAAAGTGTAAATGGGTTAGTAAATGTAAATTTGATTTAGGTACAACCTAAATTTATTTAGGTTGGTCTTCACTAAGGGTTTTCCTATTTTTTCATTACGTTTTGATTTGCAAATATTCAAAACTGCATCTAAAACACATCTTTTGAAGAAAGTGATTTGTAAAACATATAGCCACAAGTAGAGACACTTGGCTAAAACCACAAGCACACACACTCAGGTATAAGCGCGCAGGAAAGACAAGCGCAAGAAAAATAACTTGGGTATAAGCACCATGAGCTTTCCATCCTTTGTCCTGTCCAGGACTTGGTTCACTATCTTGCGCTGTTCTTCTGTGCGTCCCTTCTTCATGCTCAAGGTCTTCTTCCAAGCCTGCGCAACATAGTCTGGCAGAGAGCCCTCAGACAACAAGGCCTTGAACTTGTTGTCCTTCGACCTGTCCTTCTTGGCCACATCGCACTCGAAGAAGTCTGCATTGTCCTGCTCCTCCTCCTCCTCCACATTCTCTTGGTTCATCCTCTTCAACTTCTGGCGCTTCCTCCTCCTGATCCTCCTGCAACCCTGCTGCCCAGCCATGAGCTGCTGGCTTCTTCTTTGGCTGTACGGTTTCTCCACTGGCAGCAGGCCTTTTCAAAGAGCCTGCCTTTGGCTTTGGCTTGCTCTTTCCTTTTGCTTTGGGCTTCTTCCCTTTAGGGCTCTTTGCTTTTGGGCTCTTGGATTTTGGGGTCTTTGCTTTGGAAGCTGGCCTTTGCTTCACAGGTGTACTGGGCTCTTCAACTACACCATCGTCCTTCTCCTCAGGAGTGACTTGGCCCATGGGAATCTCTTCCTCTGCCATGCCAATGCCAACAAGCTACTGCACCTATCTTTCAAACCTTTCAAAGCTCTTTGAGATCAATCTAGCTGCAAAAGTAAACAACAACCAATAAGCCAGCTGCGCAGTAAACTCTCAACACCTTCAATTTGAACAACATACAATGCTGATCAACTCTTTGTGCAAAAGCATTACCTTCTCAGGTAAAGGATAAACCAACTTCAATTTGAACAACATACAATGCTTATCAACTCTTTGCGCAAAAGCTTTACATTCTCAGGTAAAGGATAAACCAACTTCAAATTGAACAACGTACAATGCTGATCAACTCTTTGTGCAAAAGCATTACATTCTCAGGTAAAGGATAAACCCACAAGAATGCTAGATATCTTTTTGCTGACAATATGATGCAGAATATCATAGCTTTTCATAAAATCTGTCAAAAAATTGTATGATTTTTTGATGCACTTTTGATGCACTCCTGATGTACTTTTCAAAAGTGTATACACTTTTAACAAAAGTGTATACACTTTTGATCAAAAGTGTATACACTTTTGAAAAGTACATCAAAAGTACATCAGAAGCGCATCAAAAGTGCATCAAAAGTTCATCAAGAATTCATCAACATTTTCTCTTAAATTTATAGTTTTTTGAACTAAATTTCATAAATACATATCAAATACACTTCAACTCACAACAAAACTAAACAAGACTAAGCGCACAATTCCAAGTTGAATGGCATCCTCATGTAAAGTATACTTACACAAAGTCTCAACCACTGAAGTAAAATACACTCAAGTAAAACCATCCGCAAGTAATGTCTGCCATGCTCAAGTAAAGTGTGCCATGCTCAAGTAAAGTCCGCCATGCTCAAGTAAAGTGTGCCATGCTCAAGTGAAATCACATCCTCAAGTAAAAGCTCAACAGGTAAAGTCACACCCTCATGCAAAAGCTTCTCAAGTAAAGTCAGATCTTCTTCATGTAACAGCTTCTCAACATCATGTCACAATGCGTGCCCGCAATTCTACCCCAAAGGCTGCTTGTGTCTTTTTCACTCCAAGGATTCCAGAGATGAACTGCTGTCATCTCCCAGCGTCCTCATCAAGCCCATCATGGCATTGATGCGGTCACGCTTCCTGACAATGGTTTCAAGCCAACATTGACATAACTCATGTTCATTTGCTGCAGTTAATACAAACTTGAACAATTAATTTTCAACAAACAAACTTGTTTAAAGTTCAGTCCAAGAATCTTGTCAGCTTTGCGCAATTTCCTGGCCCTTTCACTGCTTGTTTCCTTCTTGCTGAGGTGTCTCTTGTTCTTCTTCTTTTTCTTCTTCTCACAGAGCCAAAAGATCTCTCACATAAAACATGCACCCTCACACAGGCAAAAACCATCAGAGAATCAGAGAATGCTCTTCTTCCTAAAGTGAAGAAAAGTACATATCTTCAAGTAAATTTACTCCCTCAAGTAGACACCCTCAAGTAAAAATGTTTTGTTCAAGTCAAGAAGGGTACACATGCCCAAGTAAATGCAATCCCTTCAAGTAAAGGCAAAGTCCACACCTCCTGGCATGCTCAGTCAACAAAAACAAAAATCCATAGCGCAAATATCCTCAAGTACATATTGTCCTGTAGAAAACCTGCCTCTTTGGAGAAAGCCAACTCACATAAATAGAGACATTTTCTGTTTCAAAATCATGCTCACAAAAATTTACTCATAACCTAAAAAATTTACTAATAACCTAAATTGGATTTACTAATAACCTAAATTGGATTTAGTATTAAATTTACGTAAATTTTTACGTAAATTTTCCTTAGTAAAACCAAAAATTTACATAAATTTTATGGTTAGTAAAATTACTAATTTGGGTGACTTAGGGTAGGGTCACGCGGCACAATTTGCCGTACTAAAGTCTCTCGCAGATTTCAGGGCTCTGAAGAGTCTTCTACTCTTCAGACAAAAGAGATTTCTACCGGGACCCTGCAAATCTTCCACAGATACCTCGAAGAATCAACAGTCTTGCACAGAGTTGCAGACAGAGATCTCGCGCGGAAGCCCTAACGGGAATGTTAAAGATCTTGCACAGTGGGAAAAGATCTTGCCGGGATCCTGTGAAAACACCTTGCAAAGAGTGGTGAGGCGAACAAAAAACATCGAGAGGCGAAGAGTAACGAAGAGTACATAGGAGGTTGGAGGGTTTGGGTGTGTATTTTCCCAGCCGCGGGGCACGGCCGGGCAAGATCTACCATTGAAAGGCAGATTTGCGAAACGTCTTGGACAAGAACAGACAGATGACTGCTCGGGCTGCTCAGGGTGAATGTTGGCTCTGATTGCAAGAACGATCCAGCTTTGGTTGGATCTATCCTGTCAAAGATCCGGTTGTTCATCAAACCCCGAAGCAAGTCTGAGGATTTAATGGAGCAGCAAAAATGCGCTGAGGCCACAAACTCTGCGGGAAGTTTGAGCAACAGAACAGAAAAACGAAAAGCAAGTGCTCCCGAAGCTCAGATCTAGGGGCTTTTGGCATCGCTACTAGGAACAAGGACACTACTAGGGGCTCCTGGCATCGCTACTAGGAGCAAGGACGCTACTAGGAGCTTTTTCAGCAGAAGATGCATAGTCGTGTCCAGGACGGCAGAGAACAGGCAAGCTCGGGCGAAGAGCGCAACGACAGCTGAACCGTTAGGGGAGAGGAAGTGCAGATGTTTACAGAAATAGCAGGCTTTTGGAGGCCATCGCTCCTAAGTTAGAGGCCATCGCTGTTAGGTTGGGCCACCGCTCTTAGGTTGGAGGCCATCGCTCTTAGGTTGGGGGCCATCGCTATTAATTAGAATGGAGGCCATCGCTCTTAGGTTTGAGGCCATCGCTCTTAGGCTTAGGTTGGAGGCCATCGCATTGTTTTTGAAGTTGTCATTCCTGCTGCCCGGTCAATCCCCGTCACTTGTTAAGTTAAGTTTCCCAAAAAGTCTAGGAACCAAGTCATTAGTGTGAGCGCTTCTTCAAGGAACTATCCTGCATCCATACTAGTAGCTAGGCTATTTAAAATTAGTTAAGTCTATTTTACGAAAGCCGGCCGATAGGCAAGGCTTGAGCTTGGGGGTGGGGTGGTCGCTAAGCAGGACCTTTTGATAGGGTGAACCCAGAGCTTGGTGGGGGAGAGCGCTCCAAAGCGAGGGTCCGAAAAGCAGTGAAAATGGGGTCTGGTGATGCGACGTAATGGACGTTGAGTGGCGCATTATTAATATGATGAAGGGTTTTGGATACTATTTGGACAATGGGCATAGAGTGGAGACAGGGGCCCACGTACAGAGCAGACCGCAGCCGCACGTAGGATACGAGTTCCCAGGACAGCCCGCAACCCGCCAAATCCATAGATAGTGAGCTCAAGTCCATGAATTTGGGTCGAGTTTCGGTGGGGGTGCCTGCGAGGTTGACTACATATCCGCATAGGGCCCCTGCCCCCTAGTAAGAAAAAGAGAAGCTCGTCTAACAGCAGCTGGCTTTCGTCCCCCCCCTGCTCAGGTGTACTAGTAGCTACCTCGCTACTAGTGGCGATGCTGTTTGCTACTAGTAGCTTGTAGCTCGTAGTAGCTACTTTGCACTTTATTTTTTGCAACTCTTCCGCACCTCAGGCAGCACAAGCCCGGCGCTCGCAGCTGGCTTGTGCTAGGCGCTCGGTCGGACCGTTGACGGGAGCACAGGCAGCCCATGAAGTGTTTCTTCGTTTTTCGAACGAAACTGAGCACACTTTTGTTTCTGACTTGCTTGAATGGGCGTTTTGTCAATTCGTTCTTGAGTTTTGAGGGCCCCCATTTAATTCCACCGTTTGTGGTTTGTGACACACACAGCATGTTCTGGCATTGAGTCTAAGACTATCCACCACAGTTCCTCTGTCCTATTAGATTGTAACTTGTGACACTAATAGTGGCAGGAAGGTGTAGTGTAGTGTAGTGTAATAATTTGATCAATGCAAATCGGACTAAAGATGATTCAAGTAACAGCCAGCCGGATGACATGGGCCCAGGTGAGAAATGAGATTTGTTACAAAAGCATCCGGTCTCCATCCAATGTGTAGCTGTAGCTGTCAGGCAGCTCTTCAGGGCAATGCTGGATGGCCGGCGAGAAAGTTTGCGAGGAACTTCTCTTCTCAAATTGTCTCACCTTTGCAATACTAAACAAGTGGACTAAATGTATCCAGAAAGTCTCTAAACTTTGTGCTTTCAAGAACCCTTATTTCTCCGCTCTGAGGCAAAACAGCTGTGCGCTTTGACCGGAATTTCGCTACAAAGGCCGACAGTCAACAGTCGCAGCACTGCCGCTGCACTGCCTTTTTGCCGCTGTGTTGCTCCTGCTCGGAAGCCCGGTGTCGTTTTGTTCGGTTCGCAATTCACAGGTGAAGCATGGTGAAGCCAATGAATCTGCTAATGTTTTCGTGACAAAGGGGCGCGATGAAGCTTTTACCGCATGGCAAAGTGCAAAATTTTGATCAGCGCCTTGGTGCAAGTGACGGCATGGTGTGCTCAAAGCAAGCTTACCAAGATTCTAGATACACTTCTACCGATATATCAAGCTTGGATGTCAGTCTCGCGTTGCCCCTTGTGCCTCACCTTCGACAGGGAAGGCACTGTGAGCTGCACCGGCTGCCGATCGATCAGAAGGATCAGGGACATCTTCTGTGGGGGCTTCCTACTCCGATCTCAGGAGGGCAGAGCGGTTGAGGCACTTCGATCGTGTGTGGGTGCACTCACCGACCTGGCAGAGGTCGCAGCTCCGGAGCTTGAGAAGGAGAAGAGGGAGTCAGGTCCGGCGGAAGCCCCTATAGTTGTTGGGAACGCAGCTGGTCCACTCGGGGTGCCTAGGGCCCCTGTGGTTGGTCGGTTGATCGAGGCAGACAAGGAGGCCGCGGAGATTGTCAAGACCGAGGAGGACGAGAAGAAAGAGGAGGAAGCAACCCCCGGGGTGAGAGAGCTCAAAGCCGAGGAGACAGGCAGTGAGAACAAGGAAGGAGGAGAAGTAGCTGACGAGCCGAAGAAGAAAAAGAAAAGGAGGCATAAGACCCAAGGATCAGGGCAGAAAGATCAAAACAGAAAAAAGAAGGAAAAGAAAGAGAAAGAGGTAAAGAAGGAAGAGAAGGCAAAGACCCCAACACCCGAGGAGGAGGTTGTTGAGGAACCCCCCACGGAGGCTCAGGCAGAGTCACCGCCTATTCCACCTGAAGTTCCTGCTAAGGACCCCTTGGCCTAGTACCGGCCCCGAAAGGGACGGTCAGCAAGCACTTCAACCATTTCCAGTACTTGCCAAAGCCACCGTCTCCACCTAGGAGACCCAGGTCACCAAGCCATCCCCCGCCAGACTACCGCAGCAGCGACGCTCGAGGCCGACGAGGACCACCATCGAGGTCAAGATCGCAGTCGGAGGCAGCCGCCCCTGAGAAGAGGCGAAGAGGGTCGAAAGGAGTCAAACATCGTGAACGAGGAGTTCAACGCCGGCTTGCAGGTTGGTATTAGCAATGGCCCCAAAGGCCAAAGCAAAGGTAAGGGCAGCAGGCAAGGCAAGAGCACGAGGAGTGAGGTTGAGGCCAGCAGCATTGGGGGTGTTGAGGCGGCCTGGCCATGGGCCGTTGGACGAAGCTCCTGTTCCTCGGGAGCTGTGGATGAGAGGCGACGAGGTTGCAGTCCACGAGATAGGAGTCGAGGATCTGGAGATTGGGTCCTTCATCGCCTTCACCGACGCCTCATATTACGGAGCCGAGATGAAAGTGGCTGGGACTTTGAAGGGCGTGGACGTCCAGCCGGAAGCCATCCACTACCAGATCAGTGTGACTGGAACGACATCGGAAGCTCTTCTCAAATACCAGAGCGGGAAGCCCGGCGCATGCATCAGGGTACATCGATGCCCCAACACATGCACAGGCGAGCGCATAGCAGAGGACCTGGTTCACGGGTTGAGGATGAAGCGACCTTCACGAATGGGAGGAGAAGAAGGTTGGATGCGCAGCCTAGAGGCAGTCGACCCAGTCGATCCAGGCTAGCTTGCCGCTTTGCGTGTTCGGGAGGCCGCTTTGGCTCCTGCTCGAGGAGATCATCCCGAAGATGGAGGAAAAATGGCCGAAGACGACAAGGACAGACAGCGGAGCTCCGGCCGAAAGAAGGGAAAGAAGAAGGAGAAGAAGAGAAGCAGGGGAAGGAGCCCGAAGAAGAAGAAGAAGAAGAAGGAGAAACGTCGCAGTCCGAGTCCAAAGGAGAAGGAGGAGAAGATCGAGAAGGCGAAGAGCAGCAAGAGAAGGAGATCGAGCTCTACCTCCAGCAGCAGATCCGCCAAGCTGGATGGCAGGCAGCCGCGACTGGCATCCATGAAGGACTTCGATGCCTTGTACGCGGGAACAGGGTTGGACAGGAGAGAAAAAGTCCGCCGAAGGGTCCTACATCGTGCCAAGAGAGCTGCAAAGCGCAAGACCAAGGACAAGACCAGCTCCGGGAGCGGAAGCTCCTCGTCGAAGGAGACCAGCGACATTGGCGAGGAGGTGGAGGACACGCTCTTCGAAGGGGAGACGAAGATACAACGGGTAGCCCAAAGGGCACCTGGGGCGTTGGCATGGCAAGCCCTTACAACGATGCGCGCAAACCTGTTGCAAGAGGCAGGAGCCGAACAGGTGAGCGGCTCCTTGGGGCCAGTGGCCATGCTCTACATGAGGCAGCGCCTCCAGAAGCGGGCCACAGGCCCGGCCGCCCGCGAGCTGCTGACGCTTGCAATGGCCGTCGACCTGATGCTGAGGTCAAGGCCCTCCAAGGCCCTAGATGTTCTCCTCCAGAGGATGAAAGCGGTAGAAGCGGGACTCATGGGAAGTCACTGGTCGGTGACACAAAGGCTCGAGATCGGGCCGGGCGATTTGTTGAGCATGACAGGTCAAGAGGAACTGGTGTCAGCGCAACGGGCTGCTCATACCGAGGCTCGGACCCGCATGCTTGCATCCTACCCGGAGGGGCGGGAAGTCGGGCGGCAAGAGCAAAGACAAAGGGCGAGAGAAGGGCAAAGGAAAAGGAGGCAAGGAGAAAGGCAAACCACACCCCAAGGAGGATCAGCAGAGCAAGTGACCACTCCTGGTGACGGGAGGACTTTGAGATCGAGTATAACGGGTTGCATTGCTGCAGCGGGAGACGGCGCTCCTGAATGGGTTGGAGACCTGGTTGGAGCACTGGGTACCGGTGCAGTCGGGCTTGATGGAAGCATGCAGGCTGTTGTAGATCAGCCTACCACGATGTCGCCCTCGTTGGGAGACAAGGCACTACGACAATTC